TATTGTTCAGTACTGTTTCTTATGGACAAAAGAAAATAAGAATTGTAGGTCTAAACCAACAAATGTGCTCAATGAAATGTAATTAATTTTCTTTTATTGGTAAACTGCACTTGGCAGCTGAAACTTCTGGTGTGGACCCAAAGGAAGCATGAGCACCAACTGTGGCATGCACTAGGTATCTTCAGATCCCAGTGACATGAGTAACATAACACAGCTTTAAGTGTATGTGCCTTGAGAATGCCTACCGCAGCCTAGATCTTTTTGCTTATTTGACTTGTATTTGTGATGGAAAAAGAAAGAGATCTAAAGTTTCCTCTGCTTTTAAAAGAGTTAATTGGTAATTTAGGTATGTTTGATTTTTTTTTTTCTTTCCTCACAGAGTAATATGGATTTTTTTTTTTTATTGCTTGCTCATTCTGCAGAAACGTAAAAGGAAATGTTTATTCAACGAAGGTGAACTGGATGCTTTGGAATATCATTCAAAGGTAAGTTGGAAAAAAAGTATATTTTGCAGGTACATGATACCTGATAGACATGTACAGAGTGCGGGGCATGGTTGCAAACAAATTCTATTCCTGTAGCTTGTTCCATTAGTGGGAAGGTCAGTCTCTCCACTCTTAAGTGAAAAGTGCTTACAGAGAAGGTCTTCTTTGTAGACACATGTGAAATTGCATTTGAGATATTTCAAAGAGCTGGAAACTGCATTGACAAAGTTTCTTTTACTGTTGTGGATAACTAAATATTATACTGTGATGAGCTGAGTATTAGTTGGTCAGGAAGTGACTGATTTGAAATAGACTGTGACCTTTTCTGAAGATCAACTCTTCTTTAGTGTATCAGGGCACTGTGCTGAAGTTATTCAAAGCTTCTTTGACCAAATGTGCTCTGAAATATCTCATTCTGCAAATGAGAAAGATTTTTTTTTTTTTTCCCCCTCTAGCATTTTATATTGTCATACTAAAGCATTAGGAATGAATTGGAATTCAAGTCTGTAGGTTTATGTCAGTAAAGTACTGGTGAAGTTACAACTGAATTATACTGAAACATTTTTGGTGAATATGTAAAAAGACACAGTTTGGAAAAACCTGTGATCCTGGCTAGCCTCTGATGCCATTAACAGATTAGGAAGTATTGGGTTTTTGCTGTATTTGTGTTGTTAAAGGTTATAGCTCTGCGAGTCAACTCAGATTATTTTGTGATTGTACTGTGCATCAGTTGTTTCTCTTGGGTGGTATTTCTCTCTCTCCCTGTTTTTAATAATCATAATAATTAATTTTGTTTCAGTTATTAAACTGATCTTATCTCAGCCCAGGGTTTTGGGTTTTTTTCTCCTGCTCACCACGGAATGGGGTTCGTGGAGTGTGAGTGAACAGCTGAGTGGTACTTGGTTGACAGCTGTTGTTAGACCATGACACACAGCCTTATCATCATGCCCTTGTAGCTTTTGAGCCAATGTTCTCTGTAACTGGCAAGGATCATATTCCCTGCCTGCAGATTGAAGAATGTTTTGATTTCGGTTACATTCCCTGATCAAGTAGATGCTTGAAAGATCATTTCTTTTTTCCTTTGTTTCTTTATGACAATGCAGGTCAGGAAGCTGATTTGGGAAGGCACTTTGCATTTAGTCCAAGAAGGACTCAAAAGTGGTTTTCTTCACCAAAGGACTGCAGAACTCAGTTGCAGGAAGAATAATGTTCCTGTTGTCTGTGGGTTGGCTGAATTATGTGAAATGGCAAAGCAGTTTCCAGCTGTGAATGAAGGTGACCATCGGGCTGTATACGTGCTAGAGGATGAAACCTCCAGTCCAGAGCAGGACCTGCTTTCGTGTATTGCAGAAAACACCTCAAACCATGCAAAGATAATTGTGTTAATGGGGCAGAAGTACTTGGTGCCACCAAAAAGCAGCTTCCTTTTATCTGATATTTCGTGTTTACAGCCCCTGCTGAACTGTAAGTATCTTTAGGTGTTAGAATTTACCCCTTCTCTCCTGCCTGAAAAGAGCAGTTAACGTCAAGATGAATAGGAGCTCAGTGAACAGATTTTAATATACAGTATCACACTGATAGGAAATGCTACTGCATACTTTTAAAGTGGTATTTCTAACTTTCTGCAAATAGTTGAGGGTTTTCGAAGGAATCTTGAGCAGTTAGGAGATCATGTCATGGGGGTATTGTTTGTCTCCAGGAGACTCCTTTAAAAATTTCAGTCAAAATACAACAGTTTGTGAGCATGTTCTGAGCCACTGTCAGCTTAGAAGTCATGTAAATGCATTAGGTGGGGACTAGCTGTGCTGCTGGATCCCTGTCCCACAGTATGAGGCTTTAACATAGCTAAGTGCATGCTGCTGCTGGGGTGGTTGTCCTGCTGAATTGATTTTTAGCTAGATTAAACCATGGGAGAGGGATAAGATTACACACCTTAAAACAAATGTTCCCTTACAGACTCATCCTATGCAGTGGCACGGGTCTTTTTGACTGATGTAAACTGATTGTGGAACAAAGCCCAGTGTCCCCCAGGGAAGATAACAGTTGGAGAGGCTGCTCCACCCAGCTGGAAGGGAACACCACTTTAGCCAGACCAGGAGTAGCAAGCATGACTTGATGTCTCAGCTGCTACATTTCACAGCTGAGAGTATTGGCTTAAGCCAAATTCAGTGACTGGGAAATGGTGGGGATTTTATAATAAGTTTTCTGTAAAAGTTAATCAAAGCTTTAAGCTGACAGCATGCACTAGTCTTCACTGTGCTTCAGTGAAGTCAATTCCATCAGCTTGCAAATTGACTTTCATTATTATTATTACTATTATCATTAATATCAGTAGCAGCTAAGCTTTGTCAGACAGTCTTACAGAAAAGATGTTGCCTGTAAGCAGGCCCCTGTTTTGGGTTTTTGTTTGTTTGTTCCTGTTTATTTTTATAGGAAGACATGCAGGAGATAGGATCTTATTATCCTAGAAGTCCAGAATTTAACTGGTTAGCTGTTTGCAGCTGTAGGAAAGAGGGAAGATCATTCTCTCTATGCAAAGCTATGCATATAAGAAAGCATGTTTGGATTCTTCAAGAGGTCAGAGAGCAGTCAAAAAATTTGAGCAAATTCTTTATTGAAATAAGCAACAGTGAGTGTTAATATAATGCCAGTTATTAGATTTTTCTTTTTTTTTGGAGGAAGTCTACTGTCCATTTTAATTTTTATTTTTCTTCTTCCCTTTCACCTGCAAAAAGAGAAGTAATTCTTGCTGGTCAGTCCACTGTAAGGTTACTACATCCAATCCTAAGGGAAAAAGATATACTAAGCACATGTAATGAACATCAAATACTGATCTATTGTTCTTACTATCAGATTCAATGAAAGGACAAATATGTTCTCTGGAAAAAATAAAATTGGAGAGTCCTGGTTTTTCATGGATGTGCCCTATATAGTCTCTCCTCCAACTGAAGTAAACTCAGCTTCTCCCATGAAAACTCTTTCAGTTTTCTTCTTTTTCCATTATTTACATTTCATACACTGGATCTAGCAATCTTGTCTCTCTTTACCTCCAGTAGAGCAAAACACAGTTTTCCAGGGCTTCTGTGAAGCTCTGTATGTCCCTGTTGGCCTGCTGAAAGATCAAACAGAAGAGGAATCTTGTGTTCAGGGCTTCAGTTTTTCACTCAGCTGGGTGCCTTATTACTTAGTTTCTGGTAGGAAACTTGAAGAAATTGTTGTTTTTGAGTCTTGCACTCTATAACTTTCTTTTTCTAAAAATCCTCAAGATGTTCAAAATTTCTTGGAGGGATCTGACACAGATCACATAAAAATCCTTTCCTCGGGTAATCAGCCTAAAAATCTCTGAAGGATATGATTATCTGAATTCTAAAAAGCATACCAAAGGTCTTTTAACTTCTTATTTGAAAAGAACAGAAGAAATATGTGGTTTTGTGTATATCAGTTTTAACTCATAGACTTTTTAAAAGATGACTGGTTTTGTTTTTTTTTTCAATTTCACTTGCCAGACAAGAAAAAATATGATGTAATTGTGATTGATCCACCATGGGAGAACAAGTCTGTTAAAAGGAGCAACAGGTAATTTTATAGTAAAATCATACATTGTCATTGTAGCTTAAAAGGGTAATTAATATTTTAACATGCTGACATAATCCAAGACCAATGTAATGTGATACTGCAGCTTAACCTTGCAAATATTTTGGCATATGCTTATCTTCAAGTCTATGGAATGTCTTGGGGATTTCACTGAAAGGGCTTGGATGCTTGGCATACAAAATATTTGCAAGAATAGATCTTAAATTACCTAGCTGGTGAGAGATTGTTAGTCTTTGAGAATTTCAAAGAGAGTTTAGTGTCAACTGTTTTGTCAGTCCCAGATCATGCAGATATTAATTTGTAATTAATAAGGTTACTTCACTGGCCATAAAGCTAGATAAATGTGTAAGTATTTCCAAAACTGAAATCTGATTCAGAAGTGTTAGTGGTGGTGTTTATCTTGGTTGTGGGGTTTGTTTTTGTTGTTGTTGGATTTTTTTGGGGTTTTTTTTGTTTGTTTTTTTTTTTAATTTGAGCCGTGGCTTGAGCTTCAGTCTAATGGGTAGAAGAAAGTGATAATGCAGCAGTAAAATCCTCGAGTGCTGTAGTTTATGAGGTCATTAAATTAAATTTTTATGGGCTTCCTTCACTGCTGAGTAACATCAGACTTTTGCCAGTGGAGCCCTCTTGGATTACCTTCATAAGATGGGAGCCCCTATGGATTACTATAAGTTGTATCCATGTGAAAGAAGGTCAGACAGGAAGTAGGACCTTACAACTTTCTAGACTAATAACTACTGTAGCTTTTGAAGCTTTTTATGAAGACATAGTTTGAAAATGCAGAGACTGATTAATAGGCTTTCCTTTGAAAGCCTTAGAGAAACCTATAGAAAATGAGTTATTGAACTCATTTCTAAGTGAGAAATTGAACTAATTCAAATGTCTTCTTGACAATGTATGGTACGCAGAGGAAAATTACAGTTATTCACAAGCACAAATTAGCCAGCAAGACCCTCTCTCCCTCACAAAATAAAGGCAAAAGGTGCAGGAGCTATCACTGCTCTTAATTACCTTGTTGACAGCTAATAATTTTGAAGCATTTCGCATCTGGGTGAATCTTTTTGTCTCTGGACAGTCTAGTCCAGGAGATATTTTTGATTTTATGTTTGTTTATATTGTTTCTCACTGTTGCATTGTATAGGGTCCTAGGTACCCACGTGGTAGCTGTTGATTTCCAGTAGGCAATGTCCCGATATTTTTGATGCTGTAATGTGTAGGTTCCATGAATTACAACTTGCTAATAATGTAGAATAGCATGATGAGAGAATGGTAGAACAGGACAGAATCTGGAAAGCGTGCTGTATTTACTGATGTAGTGTTCAGTTAGCTCAGGAAAGTGCAGAATGGTTTTGAGTAAACTAGAGAATTTCTTCCATGACTGGGGATTAAAAAAAATGAGTAACTTCTGCAAATAATTGGAGAAATTATCTTTTATGACCTCTTAACTTTCCAGTCAAATTAGTGTTGCCCTTGCACTTGCAAATGACTCACTTGTCATTTTCATTCAGAAGAGAGCTTATTATGAGAAGTGAATAATACTACATTGCCTAAGAAGCTACTTTTAACTAAATGACTTTGTTCTGTTGTAGAGATGAGAATATTGAATTACATATGATAGTTTTTAAATGAAATATGGGCTTTTAGACTTCATCAGAGTCAGAACTCACAATGCTTTATTTGGGGGAATAGTGGAAATATTTAGTTAAAGGTTCTGCTGAGTAAAACTTAAGTCCACATACTAATGATTTTATATAAAATCTACCAGCTTTGGCCACTGGGTGTCAGTCTTGAACTATTTTTATGACTTTGGTTGTCAAGAGACAATTCTTGAAACATCCTGTCCGTGTAATTTCTTTATCTATTTGCATTGCTTTGCAGTTTTTATATTTGGCGTATGCTAACTTGCTTTCTTACTGTATTGGTGTATAGGTACAACCACTTGTCTTCATGGCAAATCAAGCAGATTCCTGTACCAACACTAGCTGCTCCAAATTGTCTTGTAGTCACATGGGTGACTAATAGACAGAAGCACTTACATTTTGTTAAGGATGAACTCTATCCTCACTGGTCGGTGAAGACACTTGCTGAGTGGCACTGGGTAAAAGTAAGTTCTAAATTTATTTTGTTTCTTTCTTGCAGACTGAGAGGGCTTCCACTATGATACCTTATATTCTTATAATTTGTCTATTTACTACCATGTGCTTCTGTATTTGAAAGGTCTGGTATCATCACTGTCCTTTCTTTTATAAAAGAAAATGTCTTGGGGAAAAAATGAATATTAAAATCTTCCGCTGTGTATTTTTAACTCTTTTGTGTCAGATTACTAGGGCTGGAGAATTTGTATTGCCTTTGGATTCTTTGCACAAAAAGCCCTATGAAGTCCTTGTATTGGGGAGAATTCAAGGAGATGTAAAGGAAGCCTTAAGGTATGTCAGGACATTGGTAAATGTCTTTTTGAGGATGTTAAGATCCCCTTTGTATATGTCACTTGTTTATAATACAGTATAATATCCTAAAATCTCGTGGCATCATCTTTTGGCTGATTGTGGACCTAAAGGTAGCCTTACTAACTTTGGGATAAGGGTGTGCCTTAGTGAGACTAAAGAATGGAAATCTTTGCCTTTTCCTTACATCTGTCTGTGCTGGGGAACTGGCTTGGACAAAATTCTCATGGACAGGGCTTCCTTTGCTGACATGTTCTCTTGGACCATGAGTCCTTGGCACAGGCTGATACCATTTTGGGGATGCTGCAGTTTTTCTACTCATGAAGAGATACAGGACTGTCTCAATGGCTTTGTGTGGCTGTTCTTAACCAAATTGTGTCTAAAGCCTCAATGAGTTCATAAACTGTCCTTTTATATGTCTGAGCAACTTTTAACTTCCCTTGGACCTACCTGAAGTCTGACTGTGAATGAGCGTTCACAGCCACAGTAACCCAGTGAGTGTGTTACCTCTCCTCTGAAGTAGCTCTGTGAGAGCTGCAGCACCACATTGGGTGGCATTCCTTGCTCATACTTCTGTTCTTGTTCTTTATACGACAGGAAATCTGAAGGTGTACTTCCAATTCCAGAACATAAATTAATTGTCAGCACACCCTGCACTCTGCATTCACATAAACCTCCTCTTACTGGTACGTTTTGGTTTTGTTGCATGTTTCTGTAATGCAGTGGACTTGGATATCTCATTCTAGGATGTACCTGGAAGTGCCTTAATTTCCCATATACAAAGCAATTTTGCTCAACAGAACTTGTGGTTCCTCAACATTTTTAAAAGTGTTGTGGGGCGTGTAAGTCTTGGTCTCTAAAAATGAAAGTGAAAACTAGAACTTTCGGCATTATTGTGTGAATATTTTGGGTAGATGTGTAAAAAAAAGTT